GTTGTCTTGCAGGCTTCTTGTGTACGTATTATAATGATATTCCTAAAATACATATTTTAAAAGAGAGTAAAATTGCTCCTAATTGGACACCTTTCCTTCGTTTACCTGCTTGTCAGAATACGGAGAGTAAATGTCAGATACGTGATAGTGGAACAGCTTTCCTCATCTCTTTTCGCTGTGACTCGGTGTTGCATCACCGCGAGCCTCTTTCAGCGTCAGTCCATTCACTCAGGTGTTGTCAGAGCCCGGCTGGCGCTTTACCAACGAGGCCACCGGGTTTCCTGTGAGCCGCCGCCAAGCTGGCACGAGTGACACAGCAGGCGAGCCGCGCTGACAGAATAAGACAAATGACCTGTTAACGATCTCCCCGTCTCTCGGCTTATTCTTCCCCGAGTCCGTCCGACTGTCTGACTGTCTTGTCTTATCGCGGCTCGCACTCCAGGGCCGTGATTGAATGAGCGCATTGATCTCCCTCAGTGAGAATATGCATTTAAACTTGATTTAAATAACCAAATTACGCTAAAAAGGCCATAAACTTTTACTCTGCTGTGCGGTCGGATGACTATTACACATGTCCAGGGCTCTTAATTGCATTGTAGATCAATATGAGGGACTTTCTAGCCCCAAGCCCAGAGCGTGGTGGCATTTCAAGGCGCTGCTTTTCTGCATTTCAGGACATTGTGTGCTGCATCGAGTGTGAGCTGTCACTGCTGTTGTTTTTAAGGTTTCTTTAAAGATCTATAATGTTAGTGTGGATTTGTGCGGACATGCAGGACCTGCTGTGTTTTCTCTCTCTCAGTTGTTTTTCTTAAAATAGCATTAATTCTGAAACTTATTTCTGCTCTTTTGAGGCCCAGAACTAAGTCTTTCACTCCACAATATGAGAATCGGTTGCATTTTACCATGAAGAAAACAACTTTTTAAAATGTTTTACATTGTTTTGTGTTGCACAAATGAAAAAAATGCTCTTGTTTACCCTCGACGAGCTCACAGTACGACGTTATAGTGAAGACAACAAAGAGCATTAATGTGTTCTGTAGCATCACCAGGAATAATTGAGCATACACCTCCAAATATACGGTAATAAATGTTCTATAATCCAAACAATGGTGCTCTGATATTCATGTTTAACTGTGAATTCAAGAGCAAAAGGACAAATTACTACAGATTTAATTGTTTTCTTGATGAGCTTTATGCAAACCGTTTATTTCTCTGCTTTGTTAAAATCTCTCCCTTTTTGTACCTTACATGTAGTTTTTCTTGCTGAATATATTCAGAAACAACAGAATTATTTGATTTTTGCTAAACTGAATATTGATAACTTCACAAGCTTCATATTGATTAGTTCCATGAATTATTGTATTTGCTGGAAATCAATCATTCGCACGGTCTACTAACCAACAGAGACACGGCAACTCGATGAGCCTTGTTTTGTTTGACCAACAGTACAACGTGAATACTGATGAACTAATCAAAAAGATTAATTATCTATTAGCTTTCGACTAATCCAGTTATTCCCAACGGCTGGTGATTGTACAGTAGCCAAAGGGTTACATGGAACCATGAGTGGCTCTGAACAGGTTTGAGCAGAAAAGATGGCTTTAGTTTACCAAAAATAAAGAATACGCAGCAGAAATAGTCGTGCATGAATGATTAACATAGAAAAGTAACAGTAAAAAAGTTGATAAATAGTTGGAATTTTCACGATTTACACTCAAAGGCTCAATGCAGACAGACAATTCGACCACCAAACAGTTGGAAAATAAATGAGAATATTTATTCACAAATAAACACTAATTGTGAAATCAAGTAACCAACAAGGTCACAATTCAAACTACCACTAACAAAGGCTTAATATCAGAAATCTTATCAAAACGTCCCCTGGAGGACGACGAACTATGATTAGAAATTATAAACAAACTTACCGCAAGAATACAAATCGAATACTAGAACTACCAATTGAGTAGACGCGAGATTGATAAACGACAAACTGGAAGCAATGGTTGGGGAGCTGGAGGAGACTGAGGTGGACCAGATGATTACAACGGAGGGTATGAAGAGCTGGAGCCAGAAGAATCCAACGGAGAGGAGTTGGGGATGAGAAGTGGACTTCAGAAGCAGTGAGCGTTGCGAAAACTGGAGCACAGGAAAGGAGAGTTAGGAGCTGAACCAAAAACAACGAGCAGAGTATACGAACGAGCATAAATGAACTTTGGCTTTACTACGATCCGGCGTCGACTTGTGGCTTTCTGGCGTCTTATATAGTGAGTGTAGGTCTGATGAGTGACCGGGAAGCCACACCTCGCCACAGCTGGAGCAATCGGTTGATTTCCAACTCATAGCACCTGGTCCCCCTACACTCCAGCATGTTCAACACAAACAGAACCAAAAATGCTCCATTAGGTGGAGCCAAAGGCGGAGGTCATGTCAGAATTAGCCACCTAAAAGTAATGGGGACAGCTAAAATAGTTGAAGCCGTGTGGTAAAGGATGCATTATTAACTATAACATATAAAAGCTCAGGATACCTACAGGAGGAACTAATAACACTGGTTACTGCAGCTAATGAGACGACTGATCACTGCTTCACCTGTTAGCAAAGAACTAACGAAACATTTAACAGATTTGGAGCAACACCATTATTAATTTCATGTTTTACTTCTAGCTAAGTTCATGTTTTGGTCCACAATAGGTGCCGACTATCTACTGTATGTTCTGTTTTCTTTATTCATTATTGTCTTTATATCATTTTGACACGCAGCCTGCTTTATCTGAGTTTTATTTCCAAAGACTTCGAGCTAAAAGTGTATGTATTTATGGATGTAATTGTACATATTTATATTTATATATTCATATTTGGATCCTGAAGAAGCACTCTCTCATCTTGCCTGTGTGACTGTGTATGTACAGCAAAATGACAATAAACTTGATTTGATTTGATATTTACAGATACAATACAATCGTAGAAGTGGAAGATCTTCTTCTTCTTCTGATTGTTGTTGGGTGTTTTTTAAACCCCCAAACAAAAGAACAAATATTAGACAACACTACAGATGCTTGCAAATAAAATGGAGAGACTTCTTTTACATTTAGGCAAATAGGGACCTTGGTGTTGCCCAAATATACAAGATCAGATTCTAAAACTTGCAATATTATCTATTTTTTCAATTCAATTTTATTTGTATAGCGCATATTTACAACAACAAGTCATCTCATGGGGCTATCTCCAGTATTGTCTAAAAGAGCTCCATCATTTAATGCCAAAATAAAGCGACTGCCTAAATAATACATAAATCCTGTTTTTTAATTGTTAGTCATGACAAAAAAAACCCTAATGACCTGTGATACACTTTAAATTGTTGTGCTTTGCAGTGTGCACAATTGCAATAAGTCAAAGTTTTACAAATATCCATCCATCCATCCATCCATCTTCTCCCGCTTATCCGGAGTCGGGTCGCGGAGGCAGCAGCCTTAGCAAAGCCGCCCAGACTTCCCGATCCACACACACCTCCCCAAGCTCTTCCGGGGGGACCCCTAGGCGTTCTACAAATATATTAAGTTAAACTGAGTGTTCACAAAGAAAAATCCTCCAGCAACCCCTTTGGAGTTATTTCAGCTTCTACCAGAAACATGTTCTCTGAATAAAGCTGTTAAAGGTTCTTTGTGGAACCAAGCAAACAGGGTTCCTTGAAGATTCCCAGAGTTTCAGAGTAGCAGAACCAACGTAATGGGCTAAACGCAGCCTAAAGTGGCAAAAAGCTGTTCAAACTGTGCAGCAGTGGAGCTGCAGAGCGGGTGTTAGCATGAATCAGCAAACTGAAGGACCATTTCACATCATACGAGAATATCTGATGCAGTGTTCCTGTAAAAATTAACACTTCTGGAGCTGAGAGGGCAGATTTCACAGTTAATGAAAGGTATTTATTATTCATTAGTACGTGCTGCAAATGGTGAAGAGGTTAGACTGAACCGTAAACACGCTGATCAAGTGTCTGAAGGTTCACTTTGTGTCATCAGAAACCCGTCTGTCCACCCACAAGACAAACTGTCAGAAACATGGGCTGACCGGGTGAAGTTGGTGTTTATGTATTCTGCAGAATGAGTCCTTTGTCTTTTCACAACTCGCTTTCGTTTCCATTGCATCTGTTATCACGGTGTTAATACAGACACATGGTTTTACGTTTTATTCATGTTCCTACCGAGGTGTGCGGTACTATTTGTTAAAGTTTTGCAGTTTTTGTTGAACTGTTTTACTGCAATCACACATTCTATCCAAAGGCTCTTTATGTAACTTGGACACATTTTTTGAAATTTTATGCCGCTGCACCACATTCTTAACTTCAATGTAAACCTCATTTAAATTAATGTAGGTGTTTATGTTTGTAAGCGGTTACATTATGGTGCATCAGGACGCTGTTCTCAAAGAGATTTTTAATAAAAGACTGAAACTTTTCCTGGTTACATAAAGATTAAACAAGTAAAATGAAAAAAATGTAATAATCATTGCTTAGGAATGAGTGACTTCTTGACAAAGACATACATTAAGCCAGCGTTCGATTTAAAGAAATGTTTTTTTATTTGATGTATTCCTGTTTTTCTTAACAATGTGCACAATCATCACATCCTCTGAAGTCTCCAGTGTTTTCAGTTTTTGGGAGAAAAGCACAGTGAGGCAGTTTTTTCCAAGTTCTTACCTCCATTTCTGCATGCATTTCTTATAATACTTTTAATTTTACATAATCTGGGGACTCCTAGCAGCTTCTTTTAAGATAGCCAGACAGTCACTGCTGCTTCTGCAAAAAACAAAGCACACACAAGGAAGAGAAACACGTGTTCAGCTTAGAGGGAAAAACAGATTCTTGTGGTTTTAGACGACCACAACAAAGACAACACAAATGATATTAAAATGCCGTTAAGGAGGAGAAAAGCTGAATGCTGAACTTACAAACCCTTCTTTTCTGACATTGTGACTAATCTGTGTTTTTTCTCTTTCTCTCTTAGTAAAGAAAGCCAAACTCCACGGGCCTCCAGGTAAGAATCCATGAACATCTTCTGTATTATTTGAACATGAAGAGCAGTAATACGACAGTAGGTGGGACTGGCAGCTTTTGTTTTTCTTATACATCAGAGTTATTTCACTGTAGATAGCAAGGAGGTAGAGGGGCCCCAAAACTGGACCTTAAAGGCCGTGAATCAGTCATTTCAGCTGATGTTGAGACAGTTAAATGCATAAATGTGATTCATCCCGTGGAAACCATGAATTTGTGTGAATGAATTTAACAGCAATCTTTTCAAAAGTTGTTGAGATGTTTCACTTTGGACCAGAGTGGTGGACACAGTTTGACCCGGTCATTAACATGACGAAATGATAAATCATCATTTGAACCAGGCAGGACTAGGAAGAAGAAAGAAAACTAACTATTTGGTGGCAACTTTCTCTCTAGTTTTTAATTCTTGTGTCGAGAACATGATTTATTTAGTTCGTTTGAGAAAAAGAGCATCAGTCTATGTCTTAAGTTATTCTGTTTAGTAACTTGGAAATGGAAATAATGAATGTTGTCACTAGAAGGCAAAGTAGTGTGACGTAATAGAGCAGATAGGGACGGGTACCAAAGTTTAATAAATCAGTTTGGTTCTCAATGCTGGAAAAATCTTTAAAAATGGATTTCCTGTTATTGTTGCAGAAGTGTTGTCTTACACATTTGCATCATTTATACCGACTATTCTGGTAGATTAGTCGTAGCAGCTGGACTTGCTTGAGATTCCTTGAAGATGTTCCACCTCTCATCCAAGAGGCTTCATCAGGTCTGACTGACTAGTTGGGAGTTCCAGATACTTATATCCTAAAGGAGTCATTAACACCTGAGTTTCGGTTTTAATTGGGGGTTTGTTGCTCCTCCCCCTCGTTATGTGAGTCGTTAGTGCTCCTCCTGCCACAATGGGGTTCATTAGGGTCTTTTGTGGCTATAGGTGTGAATGTGGGTTCATCTTCCTGGGGAGAGATCTTAGGACTGAATTGTAAACAGGTGAGAGGTGATGCCTCAGACCTCCACCTAACGACTCACATAAGGAGGGGGAGGAGGAATCAACCCCCAGTTGAAACCAAGACTCAGGTGTTAATGCCTCCTGAAGAATATAAGTATATAGAACTCCCAACTAGTCAGGCAGAACTGATGAAACCTCTTGGATGAGAGGTGGAACGTCTTCAAGGAACTCAAGCAAGTCCAGTTGCTACGATTAATCTCCCAGAATAACCATGACCTGGATGACTGAGACTCTTCACAGACATTTATACTGACTATGATGTGATGCAGAAGTACAAGTTTAGAAGTGTGTTTGCACTTCTTTAGAGTGATGATGTCTCCTGCATGTAAGAGCAGAAAGACGATGAATCTGTTGAACAGTTCATCAAAATCAGACAGAGAATTACGGTTTGCAAGCAGCTCAGAGCCTGAACATGGAGTTAACTAAACTAAACAAACATGGATTCATGATGAAAGTGGACTTTAGCCTTGGCTGCATTCATTAATTCAATCTGAGATGGTCAGAGCATCATTTGAACTGTTGTTTCAGAAATTCACAGGTTCAGAGTGCTTCTGCATTTTTTATTTTTTATTTTTTACCTTTTCTAACTGAGTTGGCAGCAGCAGAAGAAATACTTTTCTGAGTAAAACTAACAATATCACATCATAAAAATAGTCCTACCTTCATTTTTTTGTGAAATAAGGAGTGAAAGAGAATATTTTTAGAAACAAAGCAATTTCTTTTTAATTTTCTTCCTA